CCGATTAATTTATTTTTATTTTTAGTAGAGACGGGGTCTCGCTCTTGCTCAGGCTGGTTTCGAACTCCTGAGCTCAAACAATCCGCCAGCCTCGGCCTCCCAGAGTGCTAGGATTACAGGCGTGAGCCACCGCGCCCGGCCTAGAAGTTAAGTTCTTTATAGTGAAAAAAATCAGGCAAAGTACAGAATGATACCTACAGTGATTATAGCTATGTTTTGTAAAATTCAAAAATAACTTTGTGCTTATGTGTGTGTGTTGTATATGTGTTAGAAACCAGGCCAGGTGTGGTGGCTCATGCTTTTAATCCCAGCAGTTTGGGAGGCTGAGGCAGAAGGATCTCTTGAGCCCAGGAGTTCAAGGTTACAGTAAGCTATTGTGATCTCACCAATGCACCATTGCCTTCCAGCCTGGGTGACAGAGTGAGACCTTGTCTCTAAAAAAAAAAATAAAAAACAAAACCCCAAACCAGATAAGGTATAAAAGGAGAAGTAAATAAATCTTGTCAATATGGGATGAATGTCTTGACTCACAAGAACTAAAACAGTTGCTCTTGTTTGAAGAAGAAGGGCTTATAATCAGTCCTGGAGGGCCAGGCACGGTGGCTCATGCCTGTAATCGTAGCACTCTGGGAGGCTGAAGTGGGAGCGTCACTTGAGCTCAGGAGTTTGAGACCAGCCTGAGCAAGAGCAAGACCCCATCTCTATTAAATATAGAAGAATTAGCTGGGCGTGGTGGCATGTGCCTATAATCCCAGGTACTTGGGAGGCTGAGGCAGGAGAATCACTTGAGCCCAGGAGTTTGAGGTTGCTGTGAGGTAGGCTGATGCCACGGCACTCTAGCCCAGGTGACACAGTGAGATTCTGTCTCAAAAAAAAAAAAAAAAAAAATTAGTCCTGGGGAAAAAAAGAAAAAATTTTGTGTGGTAGTACTCTGACCTCCATAAGGACATCAAATGAAAGCTGGAATGGGCACTGGGTGTGTTTGTGTCTCACTGAGAATAAAATATCTAAGCTTGGGCAAGGGAGATCATAAGTTGAGAGGCAGAATAATGTGACATGCCTTATTTGTGCAACTCTGCAGGAAGGCACACGAAAAGCAGTACTCAGGTACTTTAGTCAACTTCACAGAATTTTCTCAAAAATGCTTAATAAAAAAGAGCACCACATCTGCTAAGGAGAGAGGAAAACTTGAAGACATAGTGAAAGCATACAAGCCTCCTTATTCAAGACTTATTTCCCCCTCATAAGGAAAGCAAAAAGAGGTTCAAGAATCCAAATACACTGAAAGGTCTCTTTTGGCCTTCTTTTGTTCTGTATATCACCAGAAATCAAAGGAGAGCATATTGAACATGTTGCAAAGTAGTTGGGAGAATGTTGAATAATGTTGCAGATGATAAGTAGTCTTATAATAAGTCTGCTAAGATGAAGAAAAATTTGAAAATGTTACTGCTTTACCCCAGGGTAAAGAAAAGCCTGACATAGAAAAAAAGGAGTTGTTTTTAAATGCAATGTGGTATCCTAGATTGGGTCGTGGAGCAGAGAAAGGACATTAGTGGAAAAACGTATGAAATCCACATAAAGTCTGGGATTAAGTTAATAGTAAGGCATGATGTTAGCTTTGTAGTTTTGACAAATGTACCATAGTAACGTAAAATTTGGTTAGATTAGATAATTAACATTAGGGGAAACTGGGCAAGGAGAGTAATGAGAACTTTCTGTACTGTGTTAAGTAATCTAAAATTATTTCGAAACAAAGAGTTTTTTTTTTTTCTTTTTTTTTCCGAGGCTGAGTCTTGCTCTGTTGCCCGGGCTAGAGTGCTGTGGCGTCAGCCTAGCTCACAGCAACCTCAAAGTCCTGGGCTTAAGTGATCCTCCTGCCTTAGCCTCCCAAGTAGCTGGGACTACAGGCATGCGCCACCATTCCCGGCTAATTTTTTCTATATATATTTTTAGTTGTCCAGCTAATTTCTTTCTATTTTTAGTAGAGACAGGGTCTCGCTCTT